CACGAAGGTGTGTCGTGGAGGCAGTGACCAAAAGGGATGGGCATGCCGTGGAGGCAGCGTCCCGAAGAGAGGTGTACCGTAGCGGCAGTGACCAAAAGGGATGGGCGTGCCGTGGAGGCTGTGGCTCGAAGAGGTGTACCTTAGTGGCAGTGACCAAAAGGGATGGGCGTGTCGTGGAGGCAGTGGCCTGGAGAGAGGTGTACCGTAGCAGCAGTGATCAAAAGTGATGGGCGTGCCGTGGAGGCAGTGGCCCGAAGAAAGGTGTACCGTAGCAGCAGTGACCAAAAGTGATGGAGGGGCCCGAAAGATGGGTGTGCCGTGGAGGCAGTGACCCGAAGAAAGGTGTACCGAGGCGGCAGTGACCCGGAGACAGTGGTGATTCTCACTGGGGATCACCCAAGTGCAAATGCATACACATATGGTGCAACATGCAAACATACAAGCATGCGATTTAATGCAAAAGCAAACAAACATGCAGGTGATCTGTCGACCAGATCATGGTGGTTGATCGAACCAAAGTGATCGGTCGATCGGGCCGGGAGGGTCGGTCGAACCAAAGTGAAATGCTCGTCAGGCCGGGGCGGCCAGTCAGAGCGAGGTGAAATGCAACATGCACCAAGCAAAAAAAAATGCAATATGCAGCAAATTAACATGCAGATAGCAAACCAGGCTCGTGCTAACGACCTCACTTGGTAGACTTAAGGTTTAGACCCTTCGATATGCGGCACCGCCGCCTCTTGCTTTGGTGAGTAAATGTGGGGGATTTTACCTTGATTTCACCTTGGATCACCGAGGGGGAAAATCTCCACGACATCGCTAAATAGGATAGCTACAAAGCTTTTCCCATTTCGCGAACTCCTCCAGAATTTGCAAAGCGGGCCAGCTACAAAGCTTCTCTCACTTTGCCAAGTCCGACCTCCCAACTTCTCCAAGTAAAGTTGGGGAATCCAAAGTAAGGGGAGTGAGGGACTCCGACCCATCAGGATTTGTGCTAAGGCTTACTACAGAGGGATATTTGGCCACGCACAAGAAGTCCTAACCTAAAGGCTGGCTCTAGGAAATTCAACGATCCATCATGCAGGCAAGCCGTCGAAGCCGTCGCCCCGGCCCGCGCCGGCGCACGCACCCCGTGTGGGCGATCGAAACCACACGCCTGGACTCCACTATTCCTAAGGCTGGCTAGGAGGTAGGAAATCTCACCACCGTGACAGTTGTAGACGCGTTTCTTTGCTTGCTTCGAGCTCGCCGGCGTCCCGTCCATGCTCCAACGTGCCTCGTAAAACGTTCACCGGATAACAAAAAAACATAGGAGGTTGTGAGAGCAAGAGGTATGCAATGTATTTAAAATAAATAATTTTTAGCATAAAAATATTTGACTAAGAATGAACCTTCGAGAAGGATCGCTCGATGTCGGCAAAGTGTCCGTCGTCGATAAGGTGGGGCGGTGACGTGTAGATGCTAGCTCGTCGGCGGTGCGCACTGGGAGCGAAGAAAAAGTGGAGGAGAGACCAAAATATGGAGTTTCTCCCTGCTGATTTTGCTCCGGCGGAGTACGACGCCGGCGAGGCAAAAGGCCGGCAAGGAAGAAGTCCGCCGAGTTGGGTCGGTGAAAGGAAGAAACAAGAAGTGACCGACCGGAAAGAAGGCAACCTCCAAAAATGAGCGGTGGTCGGCTGCAAACAATGGATCTCCGCGGCTGAAGGAGGCTTCGGCGAGTGGAGGAAGTCCGACGGCCGAAAAACGCGCCGGCAAAGAGGCCGACGGGATGGGGAGATCTCGGTGTATGGCTAGCCGAGAAAAGAAGAATGCACTGTTGGGAGTGTCGGGAAAGCGGCGTACGACGGTGACGGACATCGGCCGGCGAACTTCAGGCGCGCCGGCGAGGCTCGGGCGAAGGAGGAAGCCCGGAGCTTGAGGTTTTCGCGAAGCAGAATAGAGGGAGGCCTTGAGGGTGGCGGCGTCCGACCGGCGGCTGGAAGAGAGCTCGGCCGGTGACCGGAGCAGGAGCGTAGGTCGCCGGCGAGGAGGTGGAAGAGCGGCGTGACGGCTAGGGTTCGCGTGTGTTAGAGTCGGGGGGGGGGAAGGTGGGCGGGTGGGGTGAT